AGGGAAGTTTTTTCACAGCTAAATTATTTATAGGTAACCTTGAAAACTGCTTTCTATCCGTCCCCTAAGAAGAAAAGGTAACTCAAAAAGGGAGTAAGAGAGTAGCCTGAAATCCTTCCTGGAATGAGACAATCTGTAAACTAACAAAGCTGCTCCAAGTTTCAGCTTAAGGACAGACTCTTAAAAGAAAAAGCAAATGAAACAAAGAAAAAACACCATTCTTAGCAAAGAGTGGCACAGAACTAAAAGACAGCACTACTAATATTTCACTGCAATTTTAAGGGATACTTGGGACTGTCCTGGGTTTTAGTTAATGTGCAAAATGAAACACTGCAATTACACTTCTAGATTTCTTTTTGATTTCTCCTTTGCCTAATAAATGGTAGTGACTATAACCTACTGAGTTTGAAGAAAAAAGATCAACTTAGTGTTGGATAAAGTAATAAAACTGAGTAAATGAATGAGGCACAAAAACAAAAGCTGAATTTCACACTGAATTAAGAAACTCAATGGTAAATATTTCAAATTCTGGGTTGATTACTGAGATTATGAAAGATAAAATTAGACATAATGGGCCAAAGACTTTAGGAAGTATGAAAAGGTAAGCTAGAAAGTAGAGAATTACCCTCAGGTGGGTTGCCGAGGCTCCTCCATTCTGAAGAGAGCTAGTATATGGGGTGACAGCTGAAATAAGATTGATTTGAGAAAAGGAGGTTCATAATAACATATTAAATGTCAATTCTAATAAAACTTCAAACACAACAGAAATGAAGTAGTTTAGATCTCCCAACCAAACTCTGAGGCCTATAGCTAATTAATTCAATACTCTTAAAATCTGAGAATAAACTTCTAAAAAAAGTTACTCCTTCATGTACATAAAACATTTATAACCCCTTGTGAAAATAATTATTACCAAAAAAAAAGCTTTGAAATTTGAAAATACAAATTCAAACATAATTTTCTCATCCAGAAAGAACTGAGATTATTTACAACTGTTCTAAAGAAAATAAAATATTTCTGTATAATCTAACAAAACCTGTATGGATCTATATCCTAAGAATGACAAACTGATGATGGAAGAAATGAAAGATGACCTAAATAAATGGAAGAATATACTGTGTTCGAGAGTAGGAATTCTCCACAAATGATCCGTGTTTAATGCATTTCCCATTAAAATCCCAGGGAAGTGTTTGTAGACAAAGACAAGCTTGTCCTAAAGTTTATATGGAAAGGCAGAGGACCCAGATTAGTTAAAATAGCCAAACTTTTAAAAATAAAGCATAACGAGACAAATCAATCTACCTAATGTTAAACCTTATTATTTTGCCTATAATGAAGAATGTGTGGTATTGTCAGAGGGACAGACCCACAGATCAACAGAACAGACTGAAGAATCCAGAAATAGACCAATAAAAATATGCCCAACTGATTTTTGAAAAAGGTGCCAAATTCAACAGAAGAAGGATACCTTTTCAACAAATGGTTACTGGACTAACTGGGCACCACAGGCGAAAACAAAACAAAACAAGAACAAAAAAAACAAAACAAAACAAACAAAACAAAAACACCTCAACCTGAATCTCACATCTGATACAAAATTAACTCAAAATGGACATGAAAGTAAAACACAAAACCATAAGACCTTTGGATAAAAGTACAGTAGAAAATCTCGGGGACTACAGGCAAAGGGTGATAGAAATAGACAAAGAATTCTGAGACTTTATCCAAAAAAGAAAAATCTGATAAACTACATTACATCAAAATTTAAAACTTTCCCTCTGAAAGCCCCTGTGATAAAGATGAAAAGACAACTACAGACTGGGAGAAAATATTTGCAAACCACATATCTGACAAAGGACTTGTAATCAGAATATATAAAGAACTTTAAAAATTAGTAAATACACCAACAAGCCAATAAGGAAATGGGCCAAAAAAAATTTTTTTTAAATGAACATGAATAGAATCAACAGTTGGCAAATAAGCACACAAAAAGATATACATCATTAGCCATTAGGAATGATACAAATTAAAACCATGAGATAGCACTAAACACCTATCAGAATGGCTACAATATAAAAGAGTAGTAACATCAAAAGCTGGCAAGGATGTGGAGATACTGGATCAATTATACATTGCTGGTAGAAATGTAAAATAGCACTGCCACTCTAGAAAGAGAACGGTGGGGGCACCTGGGTGGTTCAGCGGGTTAAGCCTCTGCCTCCGGCTCAGGTCAGTCTCAGGGTCCTGGGATCAAGCCCCGCATGCGGCTCTCTGCTCAGCAGGGAGCCTGCTTCCCCTTCTCTCTGCCTGCCTCTCTGCCTACTTGTGTTCTCTCTCTGTCAAATAAATAAATAAGATCTTTAAAAAAAAGAAAGAAAGAAAGAAAGAGAACAGTGTTTCTTAAAAAACCAAAAATGCATTTATCATACAACCCATCAAGCACTTTTAGACATATATCCCAGAAAAATGAATATTTATGTTCACACAAAAAACTGTGTATGAATGATCATAGCAGCATTATTAGTTAATAGCTAAAAACTGGATAAAAACCCTGATGTCCTTCAATGGGATGTACCATAACACTCCATGATATATCCATACCATAGCATATTACTCAGGAATAAAAAAGGAACACACTATTGATATATACAACTTGGATGGAGCTCAAGGAAAAAAAATGAAATCTATTCATCTCAAAAGGTTAAATACTACATGATTCCACTTATATAACATTCTTAAAATGACAAAATTATACAAATAGTGAACAAATTAGTGGATGCCACAGGTGAGAGAGAAGGCAATAAGGCAGTTGTGCCTATAAAAGCTGATAACTCGGGATCCTTGTGATGGAACTGTTCTGCATCTTGATTCTGGTGGTGGTCACATAAATTTTTCTACACATGTGATAAAACTGCATAGAACTAAACACATACACACATGCAAACACAAACGAATGCATGCAAAACCAGTGAAACCTGAGTAAGGTTCATGGATTGAATCATTATACCAAAAACAATTTCCTGGTTGCAGTATTACACTGCAGTTATGCAGTATGTTACCACTGCAGAAACTGAATGAAGCATATATGGGATCTCTACATATAATTTTCATACAACAGCATATGAATCTATAATTAACTCAAAATAAAAAGTTAAAAACACTTTTTTTACACCCAGTAAGGAAAAAAAAAAAAAAAAGAATTGAGGACACTATTCAGTTACCAACTATTTCAAAGACTACTACAGATGATTTTCTTGCTAAGTGAGCAGCTACATAATCAACCTCCATCTATTACTCAGAATCCAAAGACTTCTGTTTTTCCTCTCTTTCTTTTTTCTCCTCTTCCCCTCAACACTCATAAACCTCCTTCATAATTGGCTGTAATAGAGAACCACAGTATATGTGTGTGTGTCTAGACTGCAACACCATGTTCTCTCTAGTTTTATACATACACAGAGGTATTTTTTTCCTTAAAATCGTTATTAGCATTCTGTGCTCGTGGTTCCCAATTTTAAAAATCCATGATATGGAACATTTTCTATTTCCCCTTTAAAAATAATTGAAATGGGGTGCTTGGGTGGCTCAGTCATTAAGCATCTGCCTTCGGCTCAGGTCATGATCCCAGCATCCTTCAGGCTCCCTGCCCAGTAGGAGGCCTGCTTCTCCCTTTGCCTGCTGTTCCCCCTGCTTGTGTTCCCTCTCTCGCTATCTCTGTCATAAATAAATAAAATCCTTAAAAAACAACAACAAAAAATAGAAATAAAATAAAAATAAAAAATAAAAATTAATTAAAATGTTTTGGTTTTTGTGACAATAATTGCTTTGTCCTACTCCCACTCCACCTCAAGGTAAGTAGCCCTTAAAAAAAAAAAAGTTTCCATATGCTTGCTCTGCAGTTTGGGTTGATTACTGGTAAAGCCTACACAATAGGGTACCTTCTGTGCACTGAAACAGAATAATGATTGTTAATTGTATAGAGTAAGTTAGCTACTTTTTCTAACCATTGATGTACACAGTATTAGTAAGCCACTGCCCCTGGGCTTAGCACTGGTGTACTAAACATGGTATCCTATACAAAGAAGCACTATAACATACCATATATTAAAAACACCTAATTAATACATTGCAGAAAGTTAATTTATTTGTAGTTCAGAGAGCTCTCACAGCAGGCATTATTCCTATACTTTTCCTCAGCTTTGCTTTCCAAACTACTCATTGATTTTCATAAGGCCTGACTCAGGGCTTCTGTTTGATATACATATGTACACACACATATATTTATATATATATATATACACTGATTTTGTATTTAGTTTTATGCAATTTTACGTGTATGTGATATATATATATACATACATACACACACACACACACACACACACACACACAAGTATAAGGTAGCATCTAATACAAATTCTTTGTGCAAATATCATGGGGTAGTACTCTTTGTTTCAACTTGTTCCAAGAAAAATATCTTTTTAAAAACTCTGCTATATTCTCAGACTAGTGACTCTTCTTATACCTACCTCTCATATTAGTTTCTATCTGGAGGAATAAGGGTAAGCCCTGCCCCCAAAAAGTCTTTTACAAATGTTCAAAGAAATAAAAACAAAGAATTTTTTATGTGACATTTCTTACACAATGCCCCCAAATGTCAGTTTTATAAACTATAGCTATTAGTGTATCATTTTCAATTTTAGAGAAACAATCAGATAATCAAATAATGTATTTCCCCAAAATCACTAAGATTCATGGAATTAAACACTCATTCATTAACAGGTGGCCCATTAACGTGTAAATTTTTTGTATCTTGCTCTTAAGTATACAATTTTAATTTTTTCCTAATCTCTTACTCAAAGATAATTTTACAAATATTAAAAGAAATAGTTTTCATTTCCAAGCATACACTGAACTACAATAAGCAATCTTAACAGAGCACATTAAATACCCAATGAAAAACCAACACAAAACAGCACAATTAGAGGCTGTATTAGTTTTACCTTAATTCTTCTCTCGGTGTCATCTAATTTTAACTCTGCTGAAACTAGTTTCTTTGCCAAATCATCTCGCTCAGGTAGGTGTCTAGCTTCAGAGATCTTTTTCAGTTTCTGTAAGGAAAATTTTGTCCTAAATAGTTCACCTTCTGTATCTTTCACCCTTTTTTCAGTTGCCCGTTCTTTCTCTTGAGATTTTCTTAAGCGTTCTTTGAGTGCTGTAATCTCATTGTTATGACGAGCAATAAGTTGTGAGATTTCATTTTCTGTATCTTCAAACTTATTCAGGGCTTTCTCCTGTCTGTACTGAAGCCTTTTCAAAGCCTTATTTTCCTTTAGCAGCTCAGCTAACTTGACCTGGAGTTCAGTTACTTCATTCTGCAATTCATTGATTTTTAGCAGTCTTGCAGAAAGAACCCGTTTTGTAACAAGATCAGTATCTTTCCGGAGTGGCTCCCTATTGAGGCTCTGGGAGCGAAATCCCACTCGGACTCCCTTTCTGTTTGGTGGACCCTTAGGGCTTGGCTTCCTAGGGGCTAAAAAAGAAACAGTAATGATGTAAAGTGAAAGCTGTACTAATGTAATATTACTATTCATTCTAATATAAATGAATCTATAACATTCTTTAGTTTCTTCCTTAAAAAACGATATTACAATATTTAAGTATCAGGTTTTATTTAGAGGTCTCAGTATGTTTTTATTAAGACAGGTCGAGAATCTTTTCTTAAGAAAGGTCGGGAACATTCGGACTTATCAAAATGATACCCCAATAGTTTATAGGAAATTATTTTTACATTGCTTTAAAAAAATAACAGCATCAGGCTTTACCATTTTTAACCTTATAGATAAGATGGCAAGCCAGAATTCAAGCACGACATCATGAGCATTAGCAGGGGGTGTAATAAACACTGGACAAAATACTGTGATATTCAAATAATTTATGCCAAGATATTTGGGATTATAATTTGGAATGTGAAACATATGTTTTCTCTAAATTAATTAGAACTCTTTTTCTTTATTTGGGGAAACAAGACAATATCACATTGTACAGTGAGAAGATCTGGGTTTGGGACTTTGATTTACCACTTAATAACTCCTTGGGCAATTCAGCTAAACCTTTCCAGGTCTATTTTCCCCACCCATATAATGAGCATAACACCACCTATATAACTAGGTTGTTGTCAGGATTAAACAAAGAATGCATGTAAAACAGGAAGTTCTCCACACATATTCTCTGTCAGTAATAAGAACTTAATCCCATTTATCAGTGACTGAAAATGAAAAACACTTTTAGCAATACAGATGTTACTGCATTATTTCAAATGCTTACTCAGGGGCTTTTTGTATGAGGTTCAAAACAAAAACATTTGAAGTAATTTGAGAACAAGCTAAAAACAAAAACCTACACCCTAAAAAATATAGGCATATGAAATCTTTAAATTGTACATATTAAATAACATTTCACAAGACTGTGGAATGTCATTTTTACTAAAAGTTCATTGAACTTAGGCCCCAATACACAAAGCACCTGCCCTTTAAAAAGAGACATCTGGAAGTCTGCCACAGTTGAGAATAATGAACTTTAATCTCCAAGGTGACTGCTTTTTTTTCCAAGAAGGAAATGCATTCCAGAGGGGGGAAAAAAAAAGAAAAACTAGAAAATTCAACCCTTCCTTATCCTCCCTCCAGCTGTGGATACCTTGACTCCATTATGTAAACCAAGTAAAGAGTAACAGGTAATATTTACAGTTTACATTATACAAGTTCATTTAAAAAATGGACAACTCTAAAGAATGTGTTTTGACTGTGTACTGATTTGGGATTTCAGTTCTATAATTGTTTGAATACACAAAAGGAAGCGGTAATACTAAGAAATGGGGAAAAGCCTACAACTTTGAGCTACACTTTCCAATACAGTAGTGGTCACTAGCCACATGTGGCGTGAGAGATTCGAAATGTGGACAGTCCAAACTGAGATATGCCATAACTGAAATACATACTGAATTTCAAACACTTGTTCAAAAAAATGCGTAATGTTTTAAACACAGTGTTTTATATTAACTACATTTTAAAAAGATAATATTTTGAATATTTTGGATCAAATAAAATATACTATTAAAATTAATTATACCTATTTTTCTTTTTTTAACGTGGTTATCAGACAATATAAAATTACATGTGTGGCTTGTGTTTGTGACTTGCATTATATTTCCCCTGGATGGCACTGCTCCAATTTTAAATTGGGGCATCCATCATTTCAATTTTCTTTCCTTCCCAACATACTGAGTTAACAGTTTTGGTATCCATATACTTTTATAGAATATGTATTCAATTCTTGGAATGACAAACTTTACACATAAAAATGATTATATATAAAGACAAATGTTAATATTCCAAATCTCTAATTTTTATGTATAAAATTGTATTTCTCAGCAAACAAAATTACAAATTACAAAATTACAAAATACAAATAGAAACTTATTTTGTTTGAAAAGTTAAAGCCTATATAAGAATCAGGATAGAATTTTCCACTAATACCTTACTTCGATTGTTCAGTCAGACAGGAAGGACTTCCATAACCAACTTTTTCACATCCTAAAAATCTGAACATTTATTTTTAGCATATTCTATTAGCATGACTACAAACTGATCATAAAAAGTACACTTAACCTGAACTCAAAAAGATTTCCTAGCTGCCATTTACTTTTTTATTTTCATTTTTAAAACTATCAAGATGAAATATAGTGCTAGTAAGAGTGAGAAAAGATGACTGACTATCATGTGTATCACTCTTCATCTACTTCTTGTTAAGTCATTATGAAAAAGAGGGTGAGAAAACATTGCTTTGTTTCTAGCTTCGGGTGATAAAAATAAAATATGACTCCTTTAAAAAACACGTAGTAAAGATGAATTATGCATCTATAAAAGACTTAAGATGTTTATACTATTGACGAAACATGAAATACAATAAATACATAACATGTAATATATAAACATGTATACATGAAACTTAAATTTTATCGTGCATATAATTTTGATAAAGCAACAATTTTATTTTTAAAAATATTTAATATGCTGAAAATTAAAAAGGAAAAATATGGTATCAAACATGCAAATACACGAATTCAAGTGTTTAAGATGCTATTTTAATCACATTAGTTCTGTCCTTAGTTTACTGTACACCGGTGGTTGCCAGCCTAACAAGAAACTAATTCAGTGTTTAAGGAAACACTAAAGTGTTTAACTATAGCTGGTGTGGCCTGTTGATTGATCTAAGATAGACAAATTACCACAGATTTTAATTCAGAAGACAAAACAAACAAGTCAGATTGAAGATTAATAGCTGAAATTTTCTGGGTGATGTTGGAAATGTTTTTCAAAGCTTTTCCTCAATTATTTTCCTTAATAATGTAAGGTTTAAGAATTTCTGACTCCTGGGGCGCCTGGGTGGCTCAGTGGGTTAAAGCCTCTGCCTTCGGCTCAGGTCATGATCTCGGCGTTCTGGGATGGAGCCCCGCATCGGGCTCTCTGCTCAGCAGAGAGCCTGCTTCCCCCTCCCTCTCTCTCTCTGTCTGCCTCTCTGTCTACTTGTAATCTCTGTCTGTCAAATGAATAAATAAAATATTTAAAAAAAAAAAAAAAAAGAATTTCTGACTCCTTATTTAGGTGGCCTCCTAAACTGCTTCTGGGGAAGTAGTGAAAAATTAAAGTATTCCTACCAATAATACCAATAATTCCTCAAATATGTATGTTATTTCTTAGGAACAAACAAGCATTTTCTAAGGTTCAACCCTACGGTCTGTTTTTTCTTAATTAGATAGCAAAAGTTTAGTATCAGATCATGCATTCAACCACAAAATGAAAACAAGAGGCTCTCGCTGAGACAGATTTGGAGCAAAAGACCAAAAACCCTAAGCACTATATAGGCAAAAGAAAGAAAAAGAAAAAGCACCCAATTGTTTTAAGAACGGACATCTCTGGGAAGTTAGATCAGGGGTCCACGAGAGGGCTGTTTCAAAAGTAACACATTCGGGGGTATAGCTCAGGGGTAGAGCATTTGACTGCAAAAGTAACACATTCTTTGCAGATTTTTTTAAAGCAAATATTACTTTCCAAAGTAAAAATTTATAAAGGCAAATTTAATTATACCCCTGCTTAAATCTGTTCAATAGCCAACTATTTCCTGAAAAAGAGAGCCAATATATTATTATAGGTTTCAAAGTCCCCTGTTTTCCTTTTCAGCTTCCGATTTTACCCCTCCCTGCCATGCAATCTAATCTCTATATAAGCAAGATGCCTGGGTGGCTCAGTTATTAAGCGTCTGCCTTCGGCTCAGGCCCTGATCCCAGGGTTCTGGGATCAAGCCCTCCATCAGGCTCCCTGCTCAGCGAGAAGTCTGCTTCTCCCTCTCTCACTCCCCCTGCTTGTGTTCTCTCTCTCTCTCTCTCTCTCTCTGTGTCAAATAAATAAATAAAATCTTTTTTAAAAAACCTCTATATAAGCATTCTAACCTAGTGCTGCATTCATTAATGTATACTGTAATTACCTCATTTACCTTAGCTTAATTTTCTATGGTGTATTTTTCTACGGTTGTCCTTAGATATTTTGTTACTAAGTACATCTGGGGCTTTTTGACCGAAAATTCATTAAGATGAAGAAGAGATTTCTAGAACACTGCCTTGTCAAATATGTATTAATATGTAGATCCAAACTAGGAAAATTTTAATAAAACAAATCATTTCTAATAATTAACCTTGTTTCCATTATAACATAATTTTACAGAAAACCAAGTGGTAGTCCCAAGTTCCAAATTCCATTTCTAGATTTAATTTGAGCTTTTGCAGTAAGCACTGTGTATCCTAGAGGAAGTAGTTTTATAAAAATGTCCCTTAACTACCTTGTAGCAATGTCTTTTGCTGCTTTTTAGAGGTGAAGATTTAAAAAGGGATAAACATTTTCTGACTTTTTTTTTTGCCTTTACAGTACCTCAGAAACAGCAAGACATTCATTTAGGAAGAAGAGAACAAAATAAGAAGGTTTATTAATAGTTCCTTCTTCTGTATATAGTATGATTTTAATTATAACAAAGGATAATACACAGCACCACAGGCAACAACTATATATAACACTATATATACAACTATATATATAACAACTATACATACAAAAATACATCTTATTCAAAATGACGATCAGCCCATTTCCATGTGTATACCAATATATATATAGCAATGGAAATTTCATTCATACAACTTGCCTAAACACTTAAAATGAGTCTTCAAGGTCCACCGGACTCTTAAAGAATGCTTACCTTGATGATGCACTTGGCTATCTGAAATTTGTCTTTTAGGATTTTCTCCCTGAATACTTGTGGGTGTAGAAGAATTGACCAGCGAAGACCGGCCAGAAGACTGTGGGGTAGTTTCAAAATCAGATGAAGAGTAACGGTGTTTTCCTGCCTTACTTTCTTGATCATTATCTGGACTTCTTTCTCTTTCCCCCATGGTTTTGTAAAATAGTCTCTATTCACATAATTTCACAGATTCCTTTCTCCAAAAAACTCCATGACAAGCCTGAATAGCAGTGTTTAGAGTCTTCAGATCCTGGTGATAATATTCATGTCTGCACTTTGTTTTCTCTAGGTATCTGTAGTAGAGATTAGAACATTAGCAAACAGAAGATACACTTTTGCCCCTACAATTAAGGAAGAGGAAAGGAAACTCATTATATTTCGTGAAATAGGTTTTATAGTTAATTACAATTAAAGATACTAAAAGCAAAGAGTATACTATTTATAATTTCTAAAAGAAGGTATAATTCGATTCACCTATATTTTTCACACTGTTATTTATAGTATTTGGGGGAAAAGACAGAATGTTGGAGCTTAGAGAACATGTAAAATGCCTAACATATAACTCTTTTTGAATAAAAGTTAACTGAATTTGACTCCCCTGAATCTTAAGATTTACAATAAAGACAAATGCTTATTTTTTACAGATGTATAATGACCAAATCACCATTTTTTTTTTCTGGGTGGGCAGTGGTGGTTAAGGCAAGCCTAACAGGAACACTAACAACAAAAACCAACCTACATAAAAGTGTAAAACTAAAGTATGGGGAAAAAATTAATCAAATTAAAACACCTAATGAAAAACATTTGCAACATGACAGAAAAATGGTTACCATCCTTTACATATATAAATAACTCATACCATCCCATATGAAAAATAAGAGGCCAAAAGTTAAAAGGGCAATTACATATTAAGACCCACAGTGGGCAATACAAATGATAGGCACATAAAAATATTCAACTTCAGATACCATTTTTTTTTAATGGTTACATCTGAAGATTTTTTTTTTAATTTTATTTTTTATAAACATATATTTTTATCCCCAGGGGTACAGGTCTGTGAATCGCCAGGTTTACACATTTCACATCACTCACCATAGCACATATCCTCCCCAATGTCCATAACCCCACCCCCCCCTCTCCCAACCCCCCTCCCCCCTCAGATACCATTTTTAAACTTACCAATTACCTAAGTTTTTTTCAAAATAACACTCAATGCTGCTAGAATGCCTATCAAGAAAAGATCCACAAGATTTTTTGGAAAGTTGGCAAGATATATTAAAACTTTAATTGCACTTTTAATCTTTGATCTGGTAATTCTACGCCTAAAATAACAAGAAAAGAATCCTAAAAGTAGAGGAAAAGTTATGTACAAATGGTTATAGAGAACAACTTTTTTAAAGATATATTTATTTATTTGAGAAAGAGAGAGCATGCAACCAACTGTGCCACCCAGGTGCCCCTACAGTACAATTTTTTTTTAAAAAGGGAAGCAATGTAAATGTCTAACAACTGCAGAATAATTAAGAATATTGTAAAAATCAATACAACATAATATCATGCTATTATTAGAAACACAAAAAGTTTATTACTAGAGGAAATGTTTATAGTACTATGGTAAAGACAAAATTCAAACTAGTGAATACAATATGGTCTCAACTATACATATTCATTGAAAAGAAAATACTGAAAATACTGAGTATTCTTCCCTCAGAAACTGAAAAAAATTTGTGAAGTGCGAGATACATATACACCAAAATAGTGTTTGGCCCACAAGAATTTTAGATGATTTTTTTCCTCTCTTTATAAATTTTTATTTTATAATAAAATAAAACTGGATTATCTTTTTAATTGGAATAATTGCATTTAATATTCAGAAAAAAAGTCCCACTGACAAAATTAATATTTCAAGTATAGTGGTTCTAGTACTATATGGAAAAAGATATGCAGACAAGGCAGTGGTACTAATGTTCACTGCATTATTATAGTGGTAGAGGACTAAAACAATTAGAAGAACCATAAATAAGGTACTGGCGACATAATATAACCACATAATGAAGTACTGTACTATGAAGCTACTAAAGGAATGAGCACTACCTCTGTTTACTTTCTGCAGTCTAGAGCGATCTCCACAAAATATTAAGGAATATGGACAAAACATTATAGTATATTACCATTTATCAAAAAAAAAGATTACAAACTTGTATACATAATGTTTCATGTTTTTAAAAAGTAAAAGGATAAAGTAAACACTTAATGAAAAAAAAGGGGGGAGGGGTCCTGTAGGGCAAGGCTGCCCAATAAAACTTTCAGCAAGAATGGAAATGATTTTTCATGGAGCGTCAGCGCCTGCTGCACTCAAAGGAGAACTTTTATGAAAGCAGCGTATGCTCTGAATTGATAATGACAAGATCTACAGCCCAGCGTTCTGAAACTCTGACCCAAGTAGAAGAATAAGCACTGATTTCAAGGTTTCTGTATTTTCCTTCACATAGTGTCCTTATTTACATAAACTTCGACTGCAAAAAAAAAAAAAAAGAATGGAAATGTTTTATAATCTGTGCTATCTGGTATGGTAACTAGCCACATAAGAGCACATGAGCACCTGAAATGTGGCAAATGTGACTAATTTTTAATTTTGTTGAATTTTAATTAACTTAAGTTTTAAAAGCTATACATAATGGTGTTTGGCTCTCTGAATTTCAATGATCTCATTTTTAAAGGGAATAGTAATAGTAATTTCCTTAGAGAACTGCTGGGACAAGTTAACTAGGTTAATCCAAGAACTATGACACCATAAGCACTCAGTAAAAATCAATTACATTTACAATTCAAACATACAAGACGCTCAGTAAATTGATTGATATTCCTTGTCAAAGACTCAGTTTTAATTACAATATAATTAAAAGCTGATTATATGGTATAAATGAGGGTTATTTGTTTATATGCCTATAGCAGAAGTAGCTCCCTATGACCTGTCCCATCTTTTTTTTTTTTTCTAAAGATTTTATTTATTTATTTGACAGAGACAGAGATCACAAGTAGAGAAGCAGGCAGAGAGAGAGGGGGAAGCAGGCTCCCCGCTGAGCAGAGAGCAGGATGTGGGGCTCGATCCTAGGACCCTGAGATCATGACCCGAGCTGAAGGCAGAGGCTTTAACCCACTGAGCGACCCAGGTGCTCCGACCTGTCCCATCTTAATCAGTGGTGCCGCCTAACCTTTCACTGCAAAAGATATACCCCACAAAACATTACCAGCCATTCATCTTCTATGCACCAGCATTTACCCTTCCCCATCCACGCCTCAAATATATGCACAGAGTATATTTAAAAAAAAAAAAAAAAAAAGGAACCATCCACTGCCCCATTATTCAAGTCCCTCTCCCTGGGATAGCTATTTTAGTGGCTTATACTTTTATGCTTATGCTATTTCTTGAATTAGCAACTTAAGACCATGTAAGATGAGGATTTAACTTGTGACTCATTTTTAAATGGTTACAACATGTAATGACTTGTTTGGAAGTTTTTTTCCTTCAGATTCCTAATAGTCCTTTTTTCTTATTGAAAAGAAAAAACAACCTGCCTATATCACTAATATTTACCTAGCTTGCTAGTCATTCTATCTGTAGCCTGAATTCCACTTCTTTCCTCCTCTTAAAAACATTTTTCTTGGAGATCAATTATTTCCAATTCTAATTTAAACCAATTATTCTGTAGCTCTGTGGTACCACTGTCATTCTGGAATCATTTTTGTAGTACTTCTGGGATAATCCACCATTTCTAACAGTTCATGTCATCATCTTTATTAGTTTTGATCATCACTTTTCTGGTCTATATTCTCAAGTAACTCCTACAGAAAGGGTAAGTAGGTTGACATGAGAGACTGTGGACTCTGAGAAACAAATTGAGGGTTTTGGAGAGGAGGGGGTGGCGGGATGGTGAGCCTAGTGGCAGGTATTAAGGACGGCATGTATTGCATGGAGCACTGGGTGTGGTGTATAAACAATGAATCTTGGAACACTGAAAAAATAAAACTAAATTACAAAAAAATAGGGTAAATAGGTTGAGAAAAATGTTCTGAGTCTTTATATGCCTGAGAAGGTCTTTATTTTGCCCTCCAATCTGGTAGTTTTTTGTAAGTTCTGCCATCTAAGTTATTTTCTCTCAGAACTTTAAAGACACTACTCCACTGTCTTCTAAATCCTCAGAGGTTCTTGGAAGATGTTATACTCTCTCTTTTATCCAACATATACTTCTTCTAAGCTCTCACCATGCAACTGTAATGAAAACAACAACCTCAAAAATCCCTGCCATTACGGAGTTTACACTCTAGTTATGTGTATCTGTATCTGATTCTCATTCCCTTATAGATTATCTTTTTCTTTTCCTTCCTAGGAGTTTTTAGGATTTTACCTCCTCTTATACTGCAATCCCACAACATGCATAGGTGCGAGTCTTTTTTCACTGATTGTGTTGCCCCTTTACCTTCCTCTTCCTTTTAATATTGAAACAAGTACCTTTAAGCACCAGAAATGTTTTTATGTTACTTTTCTGATAACTGGCTTTCCTATTTATTCTTTTTGAGATTTCTACTGGCTAAATAACAAACTGTTCTCTCTGTATTTCTATTTTCACTCAACTTATCTTTTAACTATCCAGGATTGTTGTGTTTTTATTTACTTTGTGCAAACACCTTAATTCCCAAGAATTCTTTCTTGTTCTGGTTTTTTAAATAACTATCCTGTTCCTGATTTACTGATGCAATATATTTTCATTCCTCTGAGAACACTAAATAGACATTTTGTTTGCTTTAAAGTCTCTCCTGATCCAGGACCTCCGTCTCACATGGTGACAGTTTTTCTCATTTATATATGGTTTTATTTCTTTGAAGGTAATTTTTGGTTGTCCATTGATATTTTAAAAAGGAAAAAGAAAGAAAAAGAATAAATGGAAAACAGGTATTTATAAATAAGGCTTCCTGATATGCATACTTTGCTTTAGGATGAATAGCAGAGAATCAGCCATTTTCCAGGGGGCTCCTAAAAAGCTAGAATTACAAGGGATAATCTTCAGATACAAATATCCACCATGGCAACTCTACTTCTCTTTTAGGGTTGTCTTTATTTTGATTTTCTGAAGAAATTGCTTCTGTATTTTTTGATGGGAAAGAAAGGGAATGGTGAAGGGCAGGGACTATTACACTGAGTCACTGTGTATGGGACTGGGTAGGAAAGGAGGCATAACTATTACACAGTTTTTCAACTATTCTTCCTTCCCATTTTCAATTATCCTTTCTC